CCGCCCGACAGTGCGAAATTCAATTGGGGGTCACGAGCACTTCGCGGCTGATGAATCGCAGGTTTGCAGATGATGTATTTTTGCCTGACAGACATTGCAACAAGTCAGTCATGTGCTCTCTGATGCCCATGGCGATGCCGCATCTGCTGGACTCGAGCACGTCCAAGCAAAACCAACATTTTCACGAACGCCACAAGGGGTTCGGGAGAGCCCGGCGCACGCGCCTCATCATCGATGGCACGGACATCCGGATTGTGTCGTTACACGAATATGTGGAGTATTTGGGCTAGACGATTTGTTTCCAACCTGTTGTTGCGACTCAGGTGGGCCACCAGATAAGGCAGGGCTGGAAAGCTCTCAAGGCGAATCAGGCGGAGCTGACAATCCAAAGCTTCTGTTTGAAGTCAATATTGCGCTTGTTGGAAGCGGTGGCGACACCGGCCGCATTTCACGGGGCCACCTCCTGGGCCTGGACAACCGAGTGGGGCGCAAATCGCGAACGGCACAATGTCGCATGCCGCGAATGCCCTTCGGCCCTGGGGGGCGCCGTTTGCCGCGACGAGAAGATCAGGATCCGGCGCGCGATGACGCGACAGACGAGAGCGATAACGACGAATGCGTAGGTAGATGATGATGATGCGTGCTCTTGCAAGAACTTGGATCCGTGGGCAGACTGGATCAACAGAGTTACCCATCGCATCGAGAACCGCGTGGGCAGGCTGCACAGCGACAGCTGGCCGGTTTCGGTCCGGCGAGAGACGCGGGCAGATGCCTCCAGGGTTGCGAACGCGCCTGACGAGAGACGGGCCGCGGGGGCCATCGAGCGGCAGCCTCGCGCCGACATCCGCGCCCGGGGGGGCTGCCGCGCAACTCTCGCAAGCGCCAGGGCGATGATGTCGCCGATTTCTTGCGCGCTGCTGCGCGCGACGCCCCTGGGGAGGGGCTGGGGCTGCGAGGGCGCCTCGAGGCTCGAGGGGGGCATCTGCTCGCCGGCCCTCCATGAGCGAGTCCATCCGAGGAGCTGCTGCGCCATCCGCCCATGCCCCGCGCGGGGCCGGTCGCTGCCCGACATTGGATGTCTGTCTGTCTGTCGGTCTGTCTGTCTGTCTGTCCATCGCCGTGCCTGCAGCCCTGGAATTTACCGCATCGGCCCGCGCGCGCTTTTCGAGTCGCGGCTGAAACCTGGGGCGCAGCTCGAACATTGAATCGGGAATCGCTCGTTGCCGAGTTCCGAGCAGAGCTGCGCCCGGCCAAGCCCGCCCGCCGGGCCTCGGTGGCAAGGGCAAAACTTTGAGCCGCCAGAAATTGGCGAGCACGGCGCTGTGGCATTTGTTTGCGCTGCAAGCTTAAAGGCCGAATCCAGGTCTAAGCTGTCGTTGGAACTTTCAGCGTCACGCAGGGCGGGCGTCGTGGCCTGGCTGAAAGTTGCGGCATTCCCATCCGGCAATAACCTGCTGAGAGCCGCCTGGGTTGCTGAGCTGCCCCTGACGAAGTCGCCGAACATGGCCTCGCGTTGAAGCTCGCTGGACCACTGGTCCGCGATTTCCTCTGAGCTGCCCCCGCAAGCGAGCCGCGCGCGCGAAGTTGGCGAGTCTCCGGTCGGCCCCGGACACCGCGGGCAAGAGAGCTATCCGAGCCCTCGGCGTCTGCCATAGCCCAGCGACGCGCCGGCCTATGGCGCGATGAACGCCGAGGGGCTCGCGGCGGCCAGCTGGCGGAAGCTTCGAAATATCTCCCGCTCCGATGTCGGTGCACCCTTGGGCCCGCGCCCCGGCGCGCGCTGGGGGGGCGGCGCCTGGGCGGGGCGGGGCGGGGCCCCGTCGGGGCAGGGGAGGGAGGGCCTTCAAAGCGCACCATCGAACCTCAGTGAAAACCTGCTCTAACCCTCGGCCTCTGCTCTGTCTGGTCCACTTCTCCATCCGAGATCGCTCTGGCGCGCGCGAGCTCGACCGGGGCGGTGGCGGGCAGCTAACCTCTTGCCTAGGGCCTCGGCGGCCTCCCGAGGCGCGGGCTTGACCAGTCTGCGCGACGCGCAGGAGTCGTTCGGCATAGAAGCCCAGTCGTTGAAACCAGTCAAGGCCCTGTTTGTCGCAGTCCTAGAAGCGCGAGTGAATTTTCAGTCAGCGGCGCCATTGCAGGCGAAAAACTTCATCCGCGGAAATGCGGGTGAGTTCCCCCGACGCTCTCGCCCGAGCATCGGGCTTCTTCGTCGACGGCCGGCAGTTGCGCATCTTCAATCCTTGGGGAGAGGGGCGCTCGACGCGGCCCCGCATTCGCGCCGGGGGCATGCTCGGTCGCCGGCTTGGACTCTGGCGCGGCCAAAATGCCGCCCAGCAGAGCCAAGCGCAAATTCAGAACAGCCCCCAACGCACGTGGCCATGATCCAAGTGCAGCGGGGCTGTCACGCGGGATGCCAGGACTTATGAGAAATTGTTGCGCTGGCGCTCTACCCTAGAACGCATCTTGAACACTGTTTGGGATCGCGCAAACTTCGCAATGAACGCATATGAATCGGAGTGCCCATGGGCCGAATTTCACAGTCAGCTGATGAGAGGCGCACGGGGCTGCGAGGATTTGAATGGAAGTCCTTCGGCGCTCCTCAATGGGTCAGCGCGAGCATTGCTGGGCCAGGCCCAGCGCAGCCCCGCCCCCCCCCACGCGCATACCGCGTGTCCCGAGGTGGTCGGGGGGGGCTCAGGAGGCGCGGGGGAGGGGGGTGAGGCGGGGAGGCCCTGGGCCTTCTGAGGCCTCCACGGCTTCGGCGGGTCTGCCTTCCTCGCCCCTCGTCTGCCCGTCTGGGGGGGCGGGGCAATCGCCCCGAGGGGTCGCTGGCGGGGGGTCCACCTGGGGCAGCGTGCTGAGAAGACTTGGGCTCTTGCCCCCCTTCCCTCGCGCGGCCCGCTGCCGGCCGGGGGGCGGGCGCCCGAGGGCAGGGGCCGCGCGCGTGCGAAGCGCCATTTCTTGTTTCGCGCTGCCGCTGCGGATGCGCGGAGGATTGGGCATTGCGCAAGATGGATGCCCGGCGCCAGCTGGGGCCGGGCCAGCGCTCCGATGCAAGCCCGCGCGGGCCTTCCACTCGCCGTTCCCGACCGAGGTGAGCGAGCGATCGCGCGGCGCGAGATCGCCGACGCAAATTGCGCAGTCGCGCGCGCGGCTTTTGCTCGCGAGGCGTGCCGCCTCAACGTTTTGAATTATCTGAGGGAATCTGAGGCCCGCCCGCAGCGCCCGTCCAATCTTCGAGGGCTTCAGGCCGCGCGTTCCAATCTCCTCAGGCCATCCGCGGCGCCGCCTGAGATGGGGGGACCGCCCGGCGCGCGCTGCTTGCGGGGGTCGCAGCCCTCGACGCCCGCGCCGCGATCTAGGCGGATTTGGGCCAAGACTACTCGCTGCCAGGCGGCGCGCGCGCTGGTGGCTGAGATCGCGGAAGTTGACGGCTCCCCCGGCCAAACTGGCCCTTGTCTGCAGCGCCGTGACTTCGGGGCTGGCGCGCCGCAGTATGAGGAGAGAGTTGGCATTGGGGCTCTTCTTGGCCTCGTCGAATTTGTCTCCTGCTTTCAGAAAGCTGCCGCGCGGCTTGTCTGGCGAAATGACCGGCCGCCAACCTGCCCTGGCGGCTCGGCCACCTGCGCGTCGCCCGCGTCGCCCGCCCAGCGCGGTGATCGCATGTGCCGGCAACGTGGCGCTGCCATTGGTTGTCGAGATGATCTTCCGCAGTAGGCCCTCATCTGGTATCATGTCGCACTTTGGCGTCGAGGGCGTCCCCGTTGTGGTCGACGGGCGATGCTTGGCGTTTTTCTCGCAGACGCCAGACGCGACCCCCGCGTTGCATTGCCCGCGGCGGAGGGGTTGGAGCCTGTCGCGCTTCCGTCGGCCCCTTGCCCTTGCCCGCCTTCGCGAGTGCCGACGTGGCAAGTTCATCGGCGCGATCGGCGGGGCCTTGGCATTGCGGTCGCCCTCGGTAGGGGTTCGCTCCTGCGACAACAGCGGTGGCGCGGGTGAAGTGGGCGCAACCGCGCCCAGGCAGCCGCCTTGCTTGTCTCTGGGGCGCTTGTTGCCTGCTGCCTTGTGTTCGTCTTTTTCCGCTCGTGGGAGAGCAGCCTCGCCTTCTGCCCTTTCGGGCTATGGACTCCGGCTTGACCTGAGCGGCCATGGGTGTGGAATCATATTTGGCCAGCTGCTGGATGAACGCGCCCAGCTGTTTCTCCCTTGTGTTTCGCTGCTCGATCACTGTCTCGGTTCCGCTGTCTGAGTCCTCGACGTTGACTTCTACGGCGAGGAGGTCGCCCTCCGTGATCTTGACGGCCCCCCCGAGCAGCGCCATCAAGGCAACCTCCTGGCCGTCGGCGGCGCCGCCTTTGGGAGGTGGCGGTAGGCTGGCGCGCGCCTCCTCTTCAGCCGCCCCCGTCTCTGCCAGGCGGGTGGCCATGTCTTGCTAGTATATGTTCGCGTCGTCGAGCTGCACCCACTCCATGATGCCGTCGTGCTTGCTCTGAACCTGACGCTCCTCTGCGGCCGACCGCTGCAACGTCGCCTCAGGAGGTGCTGGCGCCGCCGACCTGGCAGAGGCCTTCGCGAGCTTCTCTTGGATGGAGGCGATGGCGTACGCGTCAACCATGTTGGCCAACAGCGCTAGCGCGTCGCTCAGAGGGGATATTCTCGAACTTCGCCCCATCCTTCTTATTATCCTTGGGGCTTCTCCTGCAGTCCACCTGCTGCCATCTATGGTTCTTCTCCTGGCTCCATGAATCGTCGGGAAGGGGCGGCTGTGGCGCCGCAGGTATGGGCGGCAGCGTCGCGAACGGGGAGGAGAAGGATGGGGCCGTGCCAGACGGTGCGACCTGCGAAAACAGCGCACCATGGCGGTGGCGGTTGGATTTCTGCTGCGACTGCTGCGCCGACCATCCTTGCGGTTCCCGCTGGGCTGCCTGCAGGGACTGGGTAGTTACCTCTGGAACGCAGAGGAGGAGGGGATAGAGGAGAACCGAGGGGCGGGTAGGTGGAAGGATGTGCGGGGAACGGGGAGTAGGGATAGTGAGTGAGGAACAAGGAGGAGGAGGAGGAGGAGGAGGCGGAGGAGGAGGAGGAGGAGGAGGAGGAGGAGGAGGGAGGAGGAAGGAGGAGGAGGAGGGGGAGGAGGAGGAGAGGAGGAGGAAGAGGAGAGGAGGAGGGAGGAGGAGAGGAGGAGGAGAGGAGGAGGAGGAGGAGGAGGGAGAGAGGAGGGAAACGGAGGAGGAGGAAGAGGAGGAGGAGGGGAGGAGGAGGAGGAGGAGGAGGAGGACGTGGAGGAGGAGGAGGAGGAGGACGTGGAGGAGGAGGAGGAGGAGGAGGAGGAGGAGGAGGAGGAGGAGGAGGGGGAGGAGGAGGAGGAGGTGGAGGAGGAGGAGGAGGAACACGAGCAGGAAAAGGGGGATGGGGAGGGGACGACGAGGAATAAGGAAGAGGTGCAATGGGGGGGAGGTGGGGTGAGGAGACAGGAGGGCGAGTAGAACCCCCGTATCCCGCATATCTCCTCCTCCTATTCGGCCTGCTGCTGCTGCGCTTCCCCGCCCTGCCGTTTGCACGCTGGGTTTCAGGAGCTCTTTTGGACTCGGGCGGCTTGGGGTCCCCTCGGTTCCCGTGATGGTTCCTCCTTACTTACACTCAAGGCGTTGAGGGAAGGGCCACCCCTTTGGGCACAGGAGGGGTTATTGCTTTCGGGCCGCTCCTTAGTAGGTCTTGGTCGGGGAACCCAGTCGTGACCGATGATCGCCGTGGCCGGAAAGCATCGCAGGCTCCTTACGCAGCGTTCCTTCACGATGCTTTGGCTCAGCCAGGGCAGTGCACGTCTGTCGTTGCAAGGTTCCTTCCGGCACGAGGTGCTGGCCGGATGCGAGGACAAGAACGAGCGCGACAGCGGCCAGCCGAGGCTCGAATCCACGAGGGCAGGATGACGCCGCCTGCACCCGCCTGTCCGAGAAGCCGCGCGCAACGCTACACGCGCCGCGTCGGCGGACGGGGTGGCCCACCAGACAGATCCTCCTCTCGCCGAGCGCGATCCACTACTCGCAAAATGCCTTCTCGCAAACGTCCGAAAACACACATGTCTGTTTTGATGAAATTGATCGTAGATCCCCCGCGGGGGATCCAGGCCATTTGCGAATAGTTTCTTTGCGAGTAGTGGAACGCGCTCGTCGATCCTGCTCGAGCTGCGCCCTGGCTGGAGCGAAAATCGCAGCCGCGCCGCCGGGGCCGTCGGCTGCCCCGCGCGTCGCCGGGGCTGGAAGACCCCCCCGCGGCCGGGCGAAGCAGCGGCTGGGAGACGCCGCCTGCACCTCATGCTGGCACCGGGAGCCTTTGACTCGCCGAGCGCGTCCCACTACTCGCAAGCGTCCGAAGCACAGATCTTTGTTTCGACGAAATTTACCGTAGATCCCCCGCGGCGGATCCAAGCCATTTGCGACTAGTCGCTTTGCGAGTAGTGGAACGCGCTCGTCTATTGACAGTACGACCGCCCTCTGGGCGAAGCGGCTGATCTCCCACGCTGGTCGGGCCTTCCGGGGCGTGGAGGCCCAGGCTCCTCGTCCCTGGGGTTAAGTCGGGCCTGTCCCTCTGCAGAAGGAATATTCAAAAATGGTTTACAACATAATATGGGGAGGATTGTCTGAGCATTATTGTTGCTGTTTTTGAATCATTTGGGGGCACTTTTTCATTTATCGTCCGACTGCAGGGGGACACGCCCGACTTAAGCCAGGGACTCCCGAGGTTGACCACCAAGGTGCAGATTCGAGAGTTTAGTCTCGCACGGATTCGAGCAGCTGTGAGGCAGTGGCGTCGACCTGCCTTCCCCGAAGTTGCTGGGAAGGTGCAGGGCGCCTCTGAGCAGCCCCTTGCCTTCTCGGAGCCCGCATGAGACATCTGCACACCATAGTACCTTGCCAGGGGCATCCTGGCCTCCCAGATGGTGCATGTCAAGGGAGAAAAAGCCACCCAGATCGGACAATTGGCGTTTACTAGCGCGACCCTGGGCGTTTTATGACAGTCCTGCCCTGTTCGATTCCGTTTTTGGGCGCGTTTACTGAACGACTTCGCGTGTCAGGGTGGTTCTTATGGGGGTGGATTGTTTGACCTCCAGCATGGGCCCTCCAGGGCTCGGCCAGGATGGCACACTCGCGATGCCCTGGCCCCCCCAGACGGCCCGGGCCAGCCCTGGTGGTGGTGGCGGTGTATACACGTGCCCTCTGCGTGCTGAGGGCCGTGACTTCCCCCCTCTGTTCGCGGCCGGATCACCCGATCGTGGGACAGCAGATGTCGTAAAAATAAGGCTTCGGAGCTCCGCTTATGAGGCTCCTACCTGCTTTAGCCTGGATCACCAGGAAGAATGTCGAGCACCAGAAAGGAACCGAACCTCGAGGGTTTTCACGTGTCTGGCCCTGGGAGACACTGTTTCGACACACTTTCGACACTTTTTCGATACTTTTCCAGGTGCTCGAAAGCATTTCTGGCATGTGGTCGGCAAGTGCGATAGGAGCAACATACAGCTCCGCGCGGAGTTCCTGGATCAGCGCCTGGTCCCCCCTGGCGGTGCCACCGGCGCCGCCCCTGGCACGCTCCGCACGCCCAGGATGGGCGTCCAGCGCAGATCCAGGAAGTCCGGGCGGACCTCCGACAGTTTCTGCTGATGCAGTGCGTTGCTCCTCTGTCCTGCGCCGCTCGAGAACGAGGGCGGCTGCACACAGCCATGCGGCCAGCGAGAAATCCATCAGAGATCAAGGAGACGACGACGTCTCGCCCGTGAATCTCGGATGGATGCCTTCATCATCGAGCGCGCGGCGCACCCCTCCCCCCGTCCCGTCCAGTGCGCGCGGCCCGTGCGAGTTTCCAGACTCTGGCGACTTCCCGATGATGTTCGGCTCCATGGAGATCTTCTCGCGCGCGGCCCTGCAGGCAGCCCGGGGCCGTGGGAGCCCAGAAGAGGGGGGGGGCGCGAGCTCACGGCTGGCTGCTTCCTTGAAGCAAGCACGGGTGTGGTGACGAGTAGCGGACTGAGGAGGAGGAGGAGGAGGAGGAGGAGGAGGAGGAGGAGGAGGAGGAGGAGGAGTGGGATAATATCGAAGAGGAGGAGGAGGATTAAGCGGACTATGAGTGAGAGGATTAGTAAGAGTGGGAGGGTGAGGAGGAACAGGAGGAATGAAGTATCGACAATACCTCTACTCTCGTCTCTCCCTCCAAGTCCCTCCTCCACCCCGCTCCCCTTCTCCCCCTCCCTCCAGGGCTACTAGTCGGCCTCGTCCCTCCACCTCCTCCGCTCCACTGCCCTCCCTGAACCACAGATGCCAAATCAGTCAAAACATAACGTTTTCCTGAGATGTTGGGCTTCAGTGAAAAAGGGGTGGGGGCATTAATCAGCGTCGCATCACTTTGGCTCGAACCGTCGTTCAGTGATGCCCTTTTCGGGTGGTCTTGTGGCCGCGTTGGAGCTCTCTTGGGGCTCTCTGAGGTAATCTTGGAGCCATCTTGAGGCATCAGAATGTGGACATTGCAAGAACAAGCTGTTTTTCTATTGTTCTGGCAGGACCTTGGCCTCTGTGGGGCATCCCTGGGAGGCTCTGTGGCTGCTCGGAGCCATCTTTGGGAGGAGGTCCTGGGTCCTCTTAGAGGCATGTTGGATGATATATTGAGCCGTTTTGCGCTATTCCGGGCGATCTTATTGGCCATGCTGGGCTACATCAAGCAATGTGGGTTCAGATTGGTTGCTCTAACCGGTCGCCGCCCCCGAGGATTCCAAATGGGGTTTTGGGGGAGGGGGTTTTCCAGGAGGGGTTTCCCAGGGGCTTCGCACCCCCCCAGGGGCTTCGCCCCCCCTGTTTGGACGAGTTTCCGAGGCCCCTGGGGAGCTCTTTGGAAAACCCCCCCTCCCCCAAAAACCCCTTTTGGAACCCTCCGGCCCCCGTCCAGACCTAGGGGATGGATTTCCCATAATGTGGCGGGCGAGCCCCTGCAGTCAGCGCTCGGGCACGGGGCCGGCAAGTGCGGAGGATGCCCGCGCTCCACGGCGGTCCAGGAGACCCCCGAGATTTGTCAAGGCCGTTCTGGGACGCCCGGGATGGCCTCCATCGGCCAAGAAAAACACGACACCACCACACCTGTGACCTGCCGTGCTGGATGTGTGCAGCCTTGCCTCATACTCCTTTGTGCGATGCCTCGTGGCCCACGACGGCATGGCCGCGACGTGCTCGGTGGTCGTAGTTCCCCATGGCTTCGACATGGTCGTTGGGGCCAGTTCGTTGTCGACGTGGTTCGGTTGTTGTGTTTGTTCGCCCCATCTCCTCCCTCGCCCTTCCTGCCTCGTCCCTCCTCGTCCTCCCTTCTCCCCCCATTCCCCCTCCCCCCCTTCCCCCCCCCCTCCTTCCCCCGTCGCACCCCCTCCCTCTCCTCCCTGCTCCTCCCTCCCCTATCCGTATCTTCTCGTCCCTTTCCCCCGTCCTCCTCCCTCCTCCTCCCCCCTCCCCGCCTCCTCGCCCCTTTTCTCTCTCTTCCTCTTTCCTAATCCTTTCTCCCCCCCCTACTCCTTCTCCCCCCCCCTCCCCCTCCCGCCGCCGCCTCCCCCCTCGTCCTCCGTCCTCGCCCTTTCCATCCCCCCCTCCCTCCTTTCCATCCGTCATTCCTTTTCCATCTTCCCCCTCCCTCCTCATCCCTGTCCATCCTCCCTCCTTTCCCCCTCCCCCTCCTCCTCTTCCCTCCTCTGTCCTCCTCCCTCCTGCCTTCTCCCCCTCCTCCCTCGACCCTTTTCTCTCCCTCCTGCCCGTTCCTCCCCGATCCTCTATCTTCCTTCCTTCCCACAGTTACACAATATGAATACATACCCCCCTCTCCCCTGACTCTATTTGGACAGTGTCCCTTCCTCTCCGCGTATTGTTGGTCACATACAGGGTGTAATGATTTGTTGTTGTTGTTGTTGAATGTTTGTTCCAATCCGGTCATTTCTGGTTCTTCCAAAGTGGCGCCCTCCGCTGCAGCGCGGCCCTCATTTCCGCGCTTCGGTCATTCAAAGCTTCGTCCCCGCGGCAGCGACGGCCTGATTTCCGCGCTTCCGGACGTCACTTGGCATTCGAAAGCCCCCACATCGGGCAGGCACGGTTGCGGAGGACGGGCCGCTTACCCTCCAAGTCAGCTGGTGCCGTGCCACGGCATGAAATTCGATGCTGTGTTGTGCACCGCTGTGCGATGCCATGCTTTGCGTTGCTACGTTTTGTGATTCGATGTCGCACTACGAATATGCCATCCTATGTTCTGCCATGTTCTTCTACGCCATGTACTGGATCTCTGCCCTGCTCGGCATCCGACTGTGCGAATAGAGAGGAAACCTACGCCATGGTGAAGGATGGGAGGGCGAGGTAGGACGTCAGATGTGACGCTGGCGCACCTAGTTTGTCCTCCTCCCCTTCCCCTCCTCTTCCCCTTTTCCCCTCTTCCTCCTCCTCCTTCTCCCCCCCTTTTCCTCCGCCTCCTCCTCTTCCCCGTCCTCCTCCATTCCTTCTCCTTATAAATAACTTCGCCCTGTCGCATCCCGAAGCCAGTTTTTAATGCGGGCAGGGCGTTTCGCCTGGGATTCCCTCACCTTTTTGCGACCCCGAAGCTTAAACATTGACAACCGTTTCACAGACGGAGGGCGGATGGCTTTCAAAATGTGGCTCTCGCCACAGCGTCGCGCGCATTTATTTCAAAAATGCGCAAGAGCTTCACAGATTTAGGGCGGGCCGTTTCCAAAATTTGGCTCTCGCCCCAGCGCCGCGCACGTTCGTTTTAAACATTTCCCAGAGTTTCACGGATTGAAGGCGGGTGGTTTTCGAAATGTGGTTCTCGCCTCAGCGCCGCGCGCAGTCCTTGCAAAAGTGTGCAAGACATCCACGGATTGATGGCGGCTCTTTTTCAAAATGTGGTTGTCGCCTTAGCGCCACGCACTGTCGTTGTTTAATATTTTGTTTCCCCAAAAAGTTGCAACAGTTTCAGGGATTCCCATGATCAGCGTACCAGACATACTGTGTGGGAAGGGTTCAGGAGCATGAGGGCGCAACAGTTACGCTGATTCGCCGTGTCGAAGTCTCAGGAACGGCGTTTTGGGACGATCCAGGATCGTCAAGACGCAACGGTCAACTTGATCCGTGGCGTTAGAATCCCGAGAACAATGTTTTGGCATGCTTCAGGGTCTTCAAACGGTTGCCTTCCAACGAGGCAGTTCCCTCAGTGGAATTGAACCCTTGTAGTGGTCTGTGAAGAGGGAGCTTTGAGGGAGGGTTGATACCAACATCATTGATGACTCTTTGGGTTTACACTGGTCCTCCTCCTTCTCCTCCTCCTCCTCCTCCTCCTCCTCCTCCTCTCCCACCTCCTCCTCCTCCTCCTCCTCCTCCTCCTCCTCCTCCTCCTCCTCCTCTTTCTCTTTTTTCGGACAGCCTGTGGGATGGCCGGCTGGAGAAGCCAACGCAGCCCCCCCGCGGGCCTCCGCAGGCCGCCGGACCTCCGCTCCTGGGAGCCCGCGAGGCCCCAGAGGGGGCGCCCGGTATTTGCGCAAGTCGTGTAGGCCAGCGTGTTGGTACACGCTGCGCCCCCCCCCTTCTCGGGAGCGGGTCACTGCAAACAGGGGTCAGCCAGAGCGCCCGATCTTGCAGTATCCTGCAGGGCCAGGGTCGCATCGACCCGGGCTTGGGCGCAGGATCCTGAAGGATCCTGCAGGATCCTTCGCGTTGACTCGGGTTTGCGTGCAGGATCGTGCAGGTTTTTGCAGGATCCTGCAAGGCCTCATTGACCCGGTTCCGGGTTGACATGGGTCAGTGCGTCCCCGACCTTCCCTTTTAATGCGAATTATGGACTCCTGTGCCGCCCCGGTGGTGTTGTGGCACTGCGGGGCCCGCCATGCTGTCACCCCGGGGGTCCCAGCAGTGGGCGCGCCCAGCATGCCGCAGCTTTGCCAGAAGCGTTGGTGTTGAAGTTGGCCGTGCACTTGGGCGCCTTTTTGCCCGCGCCCGCGCCGTCCGTGGCGACCCCGACGAGAGGGGTGCCCACTCAGGCCTCCCGCCACCTCGAACCCTTCCGAGCGGCGGAGTCATGTTTGAGGAGGAGCCGCGGCCCCCTTTGCCACGTGTCCGCCTCGATGGCCGCCGTCGTTGTCAGGGCGGCCTTCTCACGCAAGGAGAGCACCTTTTTTCGAATTCCCCCATGTACGCAGCGACCGCCTGGTCAAAGAGGGTTCTTACCTTCCACGCCTCTTGCTTGACCATCCTGTGATCCAGTGCAGGCTGACGTCGGAGGATCGTGCACCGTTCGGAAGCTGCATTGCGGTCATGCGCTCCTGAGTCAGAACTCCGACGATGCACGTCCCCCCGCCTTCGCCTTCGGCCTCGTGTCGCCAGGGGCGGCCTGGTAAAGGTCGAGCTAGGGGTTCCCGCGGAGGACGCCGCAAGCACGTCGCAGAGCAGTTCGATGGGGTGCATCGACGCTGTTCTGAAGTATGCCATCTGCTTCAGCGTTGCGTACATCGTTGCGCTGAGCAAGACGACGGGTTGAGGCAACGCGCCGCCGAGCAGCGTTTGTGGGTGCTGTGGGAGGCACGCGGTGTATACCCTGCGGAAGGGAAATGTGCGCGGCCAGCACGCGAAATCGACGGCGCTGCTGCTTCGAATTGCGTTTGCCCGATGTTCGGTGCCTGCGTTGCGCGGCGGTTGCCCGACGCCACCGCGCGGTCTTCGTGATAGCAAGCCGAGACTGCACGGGCCAATTGCTAAAAATTCTAACGTCTAGGGGTCGTGGGTGGGGTGGTGTCCTCTTTTGTTCTGGCCCAGTCAAGACGGCCGAAAAGGCCCCAACGACGCTCCAGTAGGGCTTACATGGCACCCCCCCAGAGAGCCCCAAGAGGCAAGCACAGCCCCATGCCATAGGGGAAGCGCGCAGTTTTACCACACTCGCCCTTTTGTTCTTCGCAGCGCCCCAGAGACTCCAGAGGAGGTCCAGAGGGGATATGGACAAGCCTAAGATTGCCGCTGAGGCCCCGAAAGCGCCCCCAAGACGGGGCCAAGAGGGCCCAAAATAAGGACCAGGACCCCTCCATGTTGCGACAAGGCCAACACGGGACACGATTTAGGACGAGGTTCTTGGCGTCTACTCGCTCCCAAGAGGCCCCAAAGATGCCCAGAGGCCCCCGAGAGCTCCCCAAGGAATCCCCAAGAGGCGCCGAAAAGTGCTCCCAACGGACCCAGGAGGCCTCCAAGAAGCGTCCTAGACGCGCCCAAGAGGCCCATTGGTTTGCCGTGTTGGTTTGCCGTGGTGGTCTGTTATGTTGGTCTGCTGTGCTGGTTTGCCGTGCTGGTCTGCCGCGTTGGTCTGCCGCGTTGTCCTCCCATGTTAATGTCTCTCCGGATCTATATTGTACACGCTGTGTCTCGCTTTTGTGCCCCGTCCATTCGAAAATTATGCATTACGCGAGGTGGGGAGTATGACAGTGTTTGGTTGGGGGTGGGTTAAACGTCTTCCCCGAAGGTGAAGCAGGGGGTTTGGAAGAGGAAACGCTTCAGATCACCTCAGCCGTAAAGGGCTGGTGGGATTGAAACATCTGGAACCGCATTACACCAGTACCCATCACAAAAACTATTCGGAACCGCGAACCGAACACGCCAAACCTAACCTCACCAGCCTGAAGTGATGTGTGGCTGCACATGTAGAAACATCGCCCCATGTCGTAATACAGCGGAGGGGGTCATAACCCTCCCAGACGAGCAGGTTTAGACGTTCTCCAGACCAGCCATGAGAGCGTTGCTTTGGCCCAGACCCCCCGCATTCGCCAAGACAGCTCAGATCAGACCCCCCAAGACATCGGACCCCATACATGTACATGGTAAACTTTGGAGCAGTCGTATAGTAAAGCGGGTGAGGAGGACCAGCAGCAGCGGCATTGGATGACGAACGAACAACACACAAACACAATCACAATCACAAACACAAACACAAACACACAAACAGGGGGGTCGGAGGGAGGAGTGCTGGTTGTGTGTATGGGCCCGGGTCGTCGGTTTCTGCGGAGGGGTCCCGTTCGAGCGGGGGGGGGGCCATCCTTCGAGCGGGGGGGGGGGCCCATCCGACAACGCGCACCCACAGCCCCCTCCGTCGCACCCATGGGTATGGGGTCGTGTTGTTCGCTCGTCAGCGTGGAGGATCAGGGGGACTCGGCCGGGGCGGGCGGCGCAGACGTACTTCAGCGGCGCGGAAGCCTGCAAGGACAAGCTGCCTTGGCAGGACACCGGGTCCCGGCGGGGGGGGCGCGGCTCGGCCGTCCTGCCAGGGCCGCCTTCGCCCCTCGCCCTCCTCCTCCCCCCTCTGGGATCCCCTACTCCTGCACCCTCCCTCCTCCTCCATGGCCCGCCCTCCCTCCACGTGTGCCACCCTCCTCGCCCTCCCCCATCCTCTCTTTCATCTTCCTCTGACTCCTCTTCCTGATTCGGCTCCTCCCCTCCCCATAGCCTCTCCCCCCTCACCCGGGGTGGGTGGGGCGGGGAGGGTGATGTTGCGCTCCCCGTACACATCAGTAGCACTCTACACCTTTATGTATTTCGGCAACCGAGGTGTGGATAAGAGCACCTGCTATTCCATGTGGAGCCGTACTTGAAGTGCCCGCATGTTTTGGCGCACTCCGCGTGTATACCATGTGGATACTGCTCCTTCCCATCCGTATCCCAATTCTCCTGCTGCTCCCCCTTCTGCGCATCCCCCCCGGCATTCCTCCTTGCTCCCATGCTCCTCCTTTATCCTGATACTGCTACGACTCTTGCTCCACGGCAGTCTTCGACGGCCTTCGCCACTCGTGGCGCACCCTCCATGCCCTTCCGAACATCCGCCACGCACAGCCGATCCAGAGTACGCATGGAGTGGCATCTACGTAACCGCCGCGTTAGAGCGACGGCGTATCCAGCCTCCTCCTTTCTCTTCATCCCGAGGAGGAGGGCGGAGGCGGAGGGACGAGGAGGAAGGGAAGGAGGAGGAGGAGGAGGAGGAGGAGGAGGAACAGGATGATGAGCCGCATCCATCCAGGACTGGGGCGAAGATCTGTACATGGGCAAGTGCCTTAACCTTCTCGGCGTCGAGGCCCTCGACGACTTCGAGGTGGTCTCGGATGGCGTGTGCTCAGGCAGGGCAGAGAAGAAGGGGAAGGAGGAGCGAGCAGAAGGAGAAATGAATGAGGGCGATGAATGGATTGCAATGGAATGAACGCCGCTGGGGGACTTGCCCCAGCGGGCTCGCTCCCTCGGCTCTGGGGAGCCCTTGAATTCCCCAGTGCCCCCGAAGAGGTCCCAAGATGGCTACAAGACGGCCCAGGAGTGCCTCAAGACGGCCTCCAAAAAACTTTCAGCGTTCCAAGAGGGGCCCAAGCGGAAGTGTCAGGGGGCCCCAAGAGGCACATTTCATTGATGCCTCTTAGGTTTGGGCGGATTCTAGCGTTTTCGTTTCTTCCGTCATCCGACCGCCCAAGCCGGTTCAAAAGGTTTCCAAGACCGCCCAAGAACGGCCCAAGAGGGACCCAAGAGGGCCCAAGACGGCCCCAAGAAGGCCCCAGGACGGCCGAAGAGGCAGGCCCGCAGGTTGCCCCTCATATTGCACCCCGGGCTCCCAACGTGCCCCAGGCCCCCAGTAGCCAGGAGGCCCCCGGAGGCCGCCGAGAGGTCTCCGGAGGCAGCGCCGGAGGGTCCCCAGAGATCCCCAGATGCTTTTGCGACTCCTCTCGGGGGCCCTCCGAGGCCCGTGTGGCTTCCCCTGCGGGCTCCCGGCGGGCCCTCCAGTGCCGTCCTGGGGGGCTCCAGCACGGCGGATCTCCAGCTCTATTCCCGCCCCCCAGGCAGGCGGATCTCCAGCTTCGGGGCCCCTCCTCCCCGCCTGTTGGATCTTTGGGTGGAGGGCGGGGTGATAAGGATGAGGCGTGAGGAGGGGGGGGAGCGACAGGATGTGTGTGAAGTTCGCTCGTATCACATTTATCTCCACCTCTGCTGCTACCGTCTCGGCTCAGGCACTGGAATCAGGTACAGCGCCGCTCACCCGCGGCGCATGGGAAAAGGGGTCGCTACCCTCTCCCTTTCCTTCTCTACACGCGGCCATCTCAGTAGGTTCGACTACTCACATACGCACATGAAGACGGTGATGAGGATGGAGGATGCGCCTGGCGGCCCGCCCCGCCGCCCCCGCCCCTGGTGCGCCCCGCCTGGGCGGGCCTGCGGCCCCCGCCCTTTGGTGCGCCACGCCGCGGTGTGCTGGCCGTAAGTCGGGCCTGCCCCTCTACAGGAGGAATATTCAAACATAGTCAACAAATAGTACGGGGACGATTTGTCGATTATGTGTGAGTATTGTTTGTACTATGTTTTATCTGTCGTCCCAAATCCGCCTGAAAGGAGACACGCTCGTCTTCATGCTAGCCCCGGGGTGGGCAGAGGGCGAGGGAGACGGCTGCGATGACGAGGAGAAGGATGATGACGAAGGTGACGATGAGGGGGGCGACGATGATGATGGGGAGGTGGAGGATGAGGAGGGATGTCCAGTAGGTGGCAACACAAGGTTGACGATGAGTCCTGGGGGCAGGGAGAACCGCAGCGGGCGGGGGGGAGTCAATAAATGCTCACGCGCATGTCTACGTGTACGTAGTCGTGTACATCTCGCCCAAACCCGAGCACACATTCGCGCCTTCGGCGACGAACGCGATGGCTTCCACATCGACAGTTTCCTTTCATTCGGGAACGGCCCCTCTACCCCGCTGGGCGCTAGACTCCAAGAAAGGTAGAATATGAGCTTGCACGAGTCGCGCGCGATGGTTTTAGCATGAGCGTACACGCGTAGCTTGCGAAATTGGTCAGCAAAAGCAGTATTCAACGTTCTTAGTTTGCTGGGAGCCAGTTTTCCACCAGGGTGTTGTGGCTTGGTGTCCGCTTCGCCTGTTTGGTTTGGTCGAACGGAAGTCTTGAAAAGAGAAGAAGGAATACGACAACGAGGAACATAATGAGGACGAGGGCGGAGAGGCAGGTGAGGCAGATAGAGGGAGGGGTAGGAGGGGCTTCAGACGGACCGCCCCAGGCGTAGACTGCGGCGACGATCGGGCATCTGCTTTCCACCCGTTCAAGAGTAAGGAGATTCCGCCTTCGGCCGCTCGTTGGCCTCCCTCCTCACGCCACTACTTCCTCCTTTACCCTCATCTTCCAACTCCTGCTCCTCCCCTCTTTCGCCTCCCCCGCCGCTCAGCCCGCACCCGGCCCAGAGCTTAACGCAGACGGGGGGATTAGGATGATGATGAAGTGGTTGTTGATGATGATGATGATGTTGATGAAGAGGAGGAGGAGGAGGAGGAACAGGAGGAGGAGGAGGAGGAGGGGAAGGGGCAGGGAGGAGGACCAGTGCGAAACCAAGACTCATTAACCATGTTGGAATACACCCTCCCTCCAAGCTCCCCCTTCCGAGGCCCTTGCAAGGGTTCATTTCCACAGGGAACTGCCCCGTTGGGGGGCAACCGTGTGGAAAAACCTGAAGCGTGCCAAAATACAATCCTCGGATCTTCAACGCCACAAGTTGACCTGACGGTTACTTCTTGGCGATCCTGAACCGTGCCAGAGCAGCAGTCCTGGAACTTCAACACCGCGTATCCCTGACAGTCCTGAATCGTTCGAACACACCATTTCTGGTCAGATAACCATGAGAACCAGTGACACTCTTACCATGGTTTCCCAATCATCCTGTGGTGTTGGGTTCTCGTTTCGAAGAGACACCGCCCCGCGTTCCTCGCCTCTCACTGCCCCCTCCCCCCTCATCTCACGTTCTCCTCCCGCCTCCTTCCTCCCGCCTCCTCCCTTCTCCTATCCTTGCCCCTGCCCTCCGCATGTCTGTGTTTCGGCGCACCCAGCGCAACGCGTCGTGACCCGATAGGGGGAGTTCCACCGAAGGCCCCAGCGGTAGGGTTCCACATGGCGGCGCCGCCCCATTTTGGCGATCCCCTCACACAGCTCGTGGCCCCATAGGGAGCTCCACCGAAGGCCGTAGCGGCAGGGTCCGCCGCTCCATTTTGGCGCACCCCTCACACAGGTCGTGGCCCCATAGGGGGCTCCACCGAAGGCCACAGCGGCAGGGTCCACATGGCGCCGCCGCCCATTGGCGCACCCCTCACACGATTCGTGCCTCAATAGAGCGTTCCACCGAAGGCCCCGGCGGCAGGGTCAACTTGGCGGCGCCGCTCCATTTTGGCGTGCCCCTCTCACGGTTCGTTGCCCCATAGGGAGCTCCACCGAAGGCCGTAGCGGCAGGGTCCACATGGCGGCGCCGCTCTGTTTTGGCGCACCCGTCACACGATTCGCGGCCCCACAGGGAGTTCCATCGAAGGCCCCAGCGGCGGAGTTTGCACGGCGGCGCACCCCTCGAACGGGTCGTGGCCCCATAGGGAGCTCCACCGAAAGCGGCGCCACAACACGGTTTTCACAATTGCACATGGTTGGGCTTTTCACGAGGATAATTTTCACAAAAGTATGCGGCGTTAGGGCGAGAGCCACACTTTCAAAAGAAGCCGCCGTCAATCCGTGAAACCTTGGCACCTGTTTAAAACGGCTGCGCGCGGCGTTAAGGCGAGAGCCACATTTTGAAAATGTCCCGCCCTGGATCCGTGAAACATTTGCACATGTTCAGGTTGACTGTGTGCGGCGCTACAGCGAGAGCTACACTTTGAAAACGGGCCGCCCTCCATCCATGAAGCTCTCGCAATGTGTTAAAACGAATGGTCCGCAGCGCTAACGCGAGACTAGTATTTTGGAAGCGACCCGCCCCCAATCCGTGGAACTCTGGCGAATGTCAAAAAAGAATGTCCGTGGCGCTACGGCGAGAGCCACATTTTGGAAGCGACCCACCTTCCATCTGTGAAACTGTTTGCCATTTTGCAAGATCTCGGCACAGATTTGGTGAGGAAGTCTAATGCGAAACGCCCGGCCCGCCCTCTCGACCGACCTCGTTGCGAAGACCGGGCTGAAGCTCTCGCGGACGTAGGCGAGTCGTTCGAAGCCACGCGCCGCGAGGAGGAGGAGTAGCAGGAGGACCAGTGTAAACCCAAGACTCGGCAAAGATGTTGGAAGAAACCCTCCCTCGCAGCACCCTCTCCATAGGACCCTACAGGGATTCGTTTTCACTGAGGGAACCCAGTTGGGAGACAACCGTTTGAAAATCCTGCAGCGTGCCAGAACACCGTTCTCGGAACGTCAACGCCACGAATCAACCTGACTGTTGCGTCCTCACGATCCTGAATGGCGCCAGAAAACCGTTTGTAGGATTTCAGCACGATCACCGCGAATCAAAATAATTGTTGCGCTCTGACAATCCGGAACCCTTCAAAAGTATAGTTTCTGGTGAGGGGCATCCGTACAATTTTTGCATTTGTTTAATACGAAGGTGCCCGGCGCTGAAGCGAGAGCCACATGTTGAGAAGGAACCGCCCTGAATCCGTGAATCTCTTGCAAGTGTTTAAACCGAGTGCGCGCGGCGCTAAGGCGAGAGCCACATTTTGAAAACGACCCGCCCTTCATCCGTGAAATTCGCGAAAATGTTTCAAACGATTGTGCGCGGCGTCAGGGCGAGAGCCACGTTTTGGAAGTGTCCCGCCTTCCATATGTGAAACGGTTTCCATTTTTCTAACGTTCTAGGATCATACATGGTGAAGAAGTCTAATGCGAAACGCCCGGCTTACAATTTCGGGTGGCGTCGACGTGCGATAGAGGGAGTTATCCATGAGGGAAACGAATGGAGGAGGAGGAGGAGGAGGAGGAGGAGGAGGAGGAGGAGGAGGAGCATGAGCAGGAGCAGGAGCATTATGTGTTAGGGAGGAGGAGGAGGAAGGGTGATGATGATGAGGAGGAGGAGGAGGAGGCAGAGAAGCCAGTGGGAGACCTGATGAGGAGAAGGAGTCCTGAAGATTGCTGGCGCACCGAGGGTGGAAGCGAGAGGGGGCAGGCCCCCTCGGGAGGTGGCGGGGCCTTTCAGAGGCTACTGGCCTTTTGGGAGGCCGCCTGCGTCCCCGGAGGAGGCTTCGAATTGTCCGCCCCCTGTGCCCTCCCCCCGGGGGGCCGCCGCCGATACTCGAAGACGAGAAGGCCACATAAACATAAACTTTTGGCGCTCCGCGCGGATTTCTTGGATCCGCGCCTGGGCCCCCCCGGCGGCGCCTCCGGCGCCGCCCCTGGCGCGCTCCGCGCGCCAAGGAGGGGGGTCCAGCGCGAATCCAAGAGACCCGCGCGGAGCGCCAAAAGTGTATGTTCATGTGCTCTTTTCTTCTTCGAGATACGAGGGCGAGGATGCGGGAGGGGATGTCTTTGGGGGAGGGCGGGCGCGGCTGCGCGCTGCATCCTGGCGGGCGGGCTGCGAGGTGCGGCCGCCGCGGCCGGGCGTCGGAGGCCAGCGGCCGGTTGCCCCTGGCGGAAGTCCTCCGGGTGAGTGGGCGGATGGGTCTAAGACGACGACGACGACGACGACGACGACGACGACGACGACGGCGACGGCGACGACGACGACGACGACGACGACGACGACGACGACGACGGCGGCGGTGACGACGAGGCGACGGCGACTGCGGACGGCGAGGAGGCGGACGAGGACGAGGGCGACGTCGACGATGACGACGACGACCACGACGGCGACGGCAACGGCGACGAGGCGACGGCGACGGCGACGGCGACGACGACGGCGACGAGGCGACGGCGGCGACGACGACGAGGCGACGGCGACGGCGACGGCAACGGCGACGGCGACGACGACGACGAGGACGACGACGACGTCGGCGGCGACGGCGGCGGCGGGGATACATCTCCTCGAGCAAACATCCCACCCAACCTGACTTATGCTGCCAGGCCCCCTGAGCTCTCGCAATTCAACTCGTCGTTCCCCTCTTCGTCCTTCCCCACATCTTTATCATCATGATCACCATCAGGGATCCGCACACTCCCCCATATCATCATCGGTGGCCGCCGTCGGGAATCGTTATGCTCCCAGTCTCGTTGGGATCCCAATACGTCAATACTCCCGCGCAAAACAACATGTTCGCATTATTGTGTGTGTATTAAAGACCCTTCCTGGACACCCTCCCTCAATTCGGTGGCTAGGCTCAGGAAGCCGTCAGTGCAGTTCCTTGCTAGGCTTTGATGACATGTTTCAGCCAGCGCCATGGCGCGCGAATCCCTCTCGTGCAGATCCATGGTTCGGGCGGGCGGGTTCTGATGACGTTGGCCCGCACTGGATTGTTTGACAGACTTGGCGGGTGCGCGCGATGATTGGAGAATTCTTTCGGCATGCTCGCGCGTGAGACTTGAATTTTCGCATTTGACAGGATGGCGAAATCCTCCGTTTCCTGATGAAGTCCGGCGACCGCGCGCACAGAAGTTTTGAATGTTGGACATTGAGGAACATGTGTTTGACGAATCATGTTGAACATTATGTTGACAACCATGGCTCTGATCAGATTTAGACATGTGCGCGCGCGCGTGTGGCATGCGTACTGTTGTTTGATGGGGTCTGACAAAACGCACTTGTTACATCAACCCGCGTCCCCCGCCTTTTGCAAGGGATGCCGGAGGGGGTCGATGCAGGCCTCCTTTGCATGCAACTGTTTTCGATATGGCAGGAAAGGTAGTGCCGAACCTACATGGACAAATCAATTCGAAAAGGCGGGCTGTAGAGCCTGTGCGCGGCACCGGGTGAGGGCGCATGTTTTACAAAGTGACTATCCGCGGGTGGCTGCAACACGTGTGGGCGTTCTGGAGAAGCGAGCAAGCGCACGACGCACCCACGGGCGGGCGCCAGGTAAAAACTTGAACACCTGATACATATGTATATACACATATACATATAACATATATGTATATTCATATTCCTATGCATAGGTCTATGTATTTACATTTGTATATATAGATAAGAAACAGGGCGCCCACGAGGGGGCTCACAGGCGCTCACGCCGGGCGAAAGCTCGGAAAGCCCAGCCAGATCACGAGGCGCCCACATATCGGCGGCGGGCGAGGGGGGGGCGTGAGAAGGGGCAGGCCTTCTCCGAAGGCGGCGGGACTTCTCAGAAGCTCTCGCGCCTTCTGAGAAGCTTGATCTGTCTTAGGGGAAAGCTTAGAACACTTTTCAGAAGGCCAGGAGACTTCCGAACCTTCTGAGAAGGCCTTCTCCTTCTCACTTCCCCACCTCGCTCGCCGCCAAACATGAACATGCGTTCCTGGAGGTCCGCGCGGCTTTCTCGACTCGGCGCTGGACCCAGGATGGGCTCGTCCAGGATCGGCATCTGGTGTAGCTACTTTGGGGAACAAGCACAGAAATACGCCTACACTTTCGGAGATCCGCGCGGATTTTTCGCATCGGCGCTGGAGCCCCCTGGCGGCGCTTCCTGCGCAGCCCCTGGCGCGCTCCGCGCGCCAGGGAGGGGGACGGTGCAGCGCCGATCCAAGAGATCCGCGCGGGCCTCCGAGAAGTGATGTTTGCACCCACGCAAAGACCCACGCCAGCTGTCTTGGTATACGCTAAACCCCCTCGGGCCTCAGGTGGGGTGGTGTCGTTTGTTTTCATGGTACAGTGGTGTAATCGTCGAGCCCCTCCCACCGCCCCCGCCGCCGCCCCAGGACAGCTGGCTCGAGTGCTGGTGGAAGGCGCGCCTCGGGTCCGCCGCGTAGGGCGCGGGCGTGGCGCCCCTTTCCTCGCCTTCCTCGTCAGCGTGCAGCTCCTGTGAAGTCAAGTTCAGAACCGGCGCCGGTGCGTCCGTTGTCGAAACCCACTTTAATCCAGCACAGAGCCGTTGAATGCCGCCTAGTCCAGCCTCGTCTGGCTCAATCCTGGGCTGAATCTGGGCGAACCCGGCTCGATGGCTTTCCACTCGGGCTTCGTATCCGCGGACGACTTCAGTGCACCGTACCGCGTTGGCGTTTCCCGAGTCGTCGTGGATCCTCGACCCAGGACTGGTAATAGATTGTCTACCCGCAGAGCCGAAACACCATGCACCACACGGCGTTGGGGCAGGGCCTAAGGGAGTCCGAACACGGTGCGGTGCATGGGCGCCGTTCTCACGAACACCCCCGTTGCCTCCCGATTCTCGCGAGGCCGTCCCCGTCCCAGCGTCCTCCTCCCCGGCCCCGCCCTGCCTGCCGGCAGAGAGCGGGGCGCTTCCCGCCGTCTCGCAGCCTGTCCTGTCGGCGGCCCCGGCCGGACGAGAGCCTCGAGGCGGCGGCAGGCGGCGCTCCGATCAGCTTTGGCAGTGGGCCCTTCGGGGGGAGGGGGCTCGGAGTCGGTGGGGGAAGCAGTACAGCTACCGCTGCTCGTCCCAGAGAACCCTGGACACCACGGCTGGATTCTCGTCGAGATGTCGGTCAGAGCACACCCCGGGAGAGGTCCGTGGAGTAGCGGTATCGCTATCTTTTGGCTTCCCCGCAGTTGTCGGCCTCTGGTTTTTCGCCGTGGAGCCATTCGGTGCTGAGGAAAGCGGGTCCTGAGGCTGTTCGTCGTTGTCTGGGTTTTTGGCCTCCCACGGGCCGCAGGACCGCCAGAAAGCGATGCGGGATGAAAACCGGTTCCAAGGGATGGTTTGCTATAGAATCCGTGCCGTCATCACAGCAAAAATCAGTGGACGTCCTGGGGTCTCAGGATTGGGTTTCTTGTGGAAGGTTTCTTGTGGTCGGGCCCCTACTGTGCTCATAACTCATAACCAGAGGCGGGCTGCTGCCAGACGGCCCAGTCTCTTCCCCCCTCTTGCCTTCCGAGGGCGGGCTCCTGCTCAGGCCGCGCGAAGCAGCGCGGGGCCCCGCCTGGCTGTGCCGAGCGACGGCGATCGCCGACTGCCGCCCGACCACCGCTCAGGGGTTACCTGCCCGAGGTTTATCCCTGTCCCTACGATTTGCATCACCTGGTAAGGGTGCCGACTTTAAGGATGCCCTCAGTACGTCGGGGGTTCCCAAACGGTGCGTTGATCATACCCTGTGGTGAGTCAGTGGGGCCTTGGGGTCACCACACAATTTCGGGACCTGGGTCGTTCTCCGAGGACGTCTCGGGCAACTGGGACCTTCAAGGTCGCAACACCGTGCGGTGACGGCCTGTGCAGTGATGTCCTTCTGGATTCCGGGTAGGTCACCGCACGGTCTGTCACCGCACAGGCTTGGGGCCCCCACGTACAGTGGAGGCGCGCATCAACGAACCAGATGCTTTTCGTCGGGTTACCCTGGGGTTCTTCGCTCCGCACGCTGCGCGGTGACTTCCCGCGGCGGTTGAAGAAGCTGCTGCGTTCAATGTGCCCTGGGCTTCCCCCCAGTCGCACCTCTCGCGCGGGTCTCTAGGGTTGGGTTTCTTGTGAGGGTTTCTTGCGGCCGCGTCCGCACTGTATCTGAGGGCGCATCCCTAAGACAGTAATCGTGTTGGGCTTGACAATGTTGGAGTCAAGACGCTGAATTACGGACAGCTTTGGGCGCTCTGGCTTTTGGGCCGCTCCCTAGGTGGCTCACCGTGGCTAGAGGAGCCCCTTCCGTTCCTTAGTCAGTGTGTTTCCTGTGGCAGCACGACGGCTGCAATCGCCCTGCCCTCGCTTTCGCACTGCCGCGTGCGCGGCTCCCGCTGCGCGGGGGCACCCCCTGCGAGGGCTTTGGCACGCAGCGGGGGCGGATGCACCACCACCGTGCCCGGCAATGGCTGGCTATCAGGGGCCACGTCAAAGGTGGGGATAGGCTCAAAGGGGGGAAGGAGGAGGAGGAGGAGGAGCCCGAGGAGGAGGAGGAGGAGGAGGAGGAGGGAGAGGGAGAGGGAGGAGGAGGAGGAGGGGGAGGAGGAGGAGGAGGAGGAGGAGGAGGAGGAGGAGGAGGAGGAGGAGGAGGAGGACAAGGAGGAGGAGGAGGCGGAGGAGATTGTATCGCCCATCGATTGTATCGCTGATTCCGGGTGGATTTTTCACTCCTGAACCGGTCCCCCCCTGGCGTTCCCCCTCGACCCAGGGCCTGGGCTTTGTGAAGACGCCATCTTGGCCAGGATGGCCCCAGCCAGGCATGGTGGTTGGTTGCGGCGAATAGAAGTACTGCATGCCCTCCGTGAGTTCGGAACCCGCCGCAGAGGTCTCCGTCACAGGGTTTATTCATATTCCTTGGATTCGGTTCGATCGATTCCGATTTCTTCCGATTCGATTCGACTTCGGATTTCGATTTGGATTTTGGATTTCTCAATGTAGGCATTGCTACCCCTCCGACTTCCGCCGATTCGACGGCTCCCGACTTGGACGCCGTTTTGCCGATCCGACTTATCGATTCGGTTCTGGGCTCGAGCAGGATGTGTGTTCGCCGCTTTCGGCTTTGGGGGGCCCTCTTTGGGTCACGACAGCCTGGGGTGCAACACGGGCCGGGACACATCCCCGGAAGGGGAAGGGGTCGGGGGATCTCGGGCGGGCGGTAACTGAGGGGTGGCCAAGATGGAGGGTGAAGAGTACCACCCGCCGGAGATCGATTCTGAGCGGATTTGGGTCGGGAAGGGGACGGGAAAGGAGGAGGCCAGGACGCGCCCCCCTCCCCGCCTGCCACTTGCACCACCTCGGAGCCACCCCTCCTCTTCGCCGAGCTCGGGCGGGGCCGACTGGGGCTGCCACTTACGGCCTCGACGTGCAGCCCCGCCGGCTTTTTTGAGAAGGCTCGCGCTGGGGGGTGCGTTACGTTATGCTCCCTCCCGCCCCCCCCCCCTCACCCTCCCGTCGGGTCGACCAGGAGGAAGTACAGCATCCCGCTTGGGCCTCCTGGGGCCCCCTTGGGGGGAGGGGGGCAGACCCATGCCCAAACGCCATAGAAGCCTGTCTAGCGTGGGAGGGCGGTGCTACCTTTTTTGTGCCGTCCAACACGGCGAGCTTGCATTTCGCAGTGACAGTGCGCTTTGAAGTGCGCCTGGATTGTGCTGAATTGTCAGCTCTTGTTTTTCATGCCAATGACACGTTCGGCAAACTCGCCGTGCATTCTTTGCTGTTGCAGTAGTAGCAGCAGTTGATCATTTATTCATCCCTGTTTCTCACTTCATTCGCATGCCCTGCACACTTGACGCTCAGAATGTTCGTGTCCAGTGGGCACAGCACGGGTATTACATCTGATGCGGCCATGATGCGGCGGGTGCTTCTTGAGTCAGGTATGCTGAGTTGGACCATCAAGTCGTAGGTACCCCGCGGATTATCCAGCTGACTGCAGCAAGTCCCGCCACGGTGTCAGCCCAGCACTGGAGGAGCGCGCAGGAAGCCGAAACGTGTTACACCTCATGACCCGAGGCTTGAGGGAGCCTTGCAATGTGAAACGCTTGTCCGCGTCGTATCGGGGTATCTCTCTTCGTGCTTGTCGTCGTCTTCCTCCCCTCCTCTTCTTCCCTCCCCCTGTACCTCCTCCTCCTCCTCATCCTTCTCCTCCTCTCTTGGGGCCTCTTGGAGACCTTTCGGGGGCGTCTTGGGGGCCTCCCGGGGCGTCTTCGGGGGCTCCTTGGATCGTCTTAGGGCGCTCTTTGGGCAGCCTGGCGTCTTCGGAGTTCGTCTCTGGGCCGTCTTGGGGCCTCCCTTTGGGGTCTGTTGAGCTGTCTTGGTGCCTCTTTGGGCCGACTTGGAGACCTCTTGGGCCATCTTGAGAGCATCTCAGGCCGTCTCTGGGCCGTCTTGGGAGCCGCAATCTCTGGGCCATTTTGGACGCCTTTTGGGCTGCCTGAAGCCCGAGAAGGTGAGAACGCAAACTGAATCCAAAAACATCTGAATCACAACATTGATGATGCCATCTTCTGGCCCTCCTGGAGGTCCTCTTGGAGCTCTTCGGGGCCGTCCTGTGGACCTCTTGGCAATCTTTGGGAAGCCACAGAGAGAAGATCGCCGCCAGGGAGGCGGCAGAACGCCCAGGAAGCCTTGGGAGGGGCGGGCGGTGTTTGCAGTAGTGTTTGGCCTGGAAGGGGGGAGCATTAGAAGAATACAGAAGCCCAGAAAACGTTTGGCACTCTACAGTCAAAACGGATAGTAGGGATGCGCGAAACGCATCTCGAAGCTTTTCGGGAAGGGCTGACCATCGAAAGTGGTTGAGAATGGACCGAAGTGGCAAGGATGCAAGGGTGCCCTTGGGAAGGTTACCAGCCTTATCATCGGTTTCGACTGTACCACGCCTCAACATGCCAGGGGGCACAGTGGCGGATGGTTGTCGTTTTCATTGTTCAGGCTCTGGACAGTTGCAGGGTTGGTGCCCCTTCTGGCGGCTCTGTACATGCTGCCTTCGTCGTGGTCTCGGCGTTTCTTCCTTTAGCTGGCGGTGTTACGTTCTCATTGTTTCCGCATCTTCCGCTGTGCTAGCATGTTTCTGCCATAGTCAGGATTCGGAGAGGGTCATCGTCCGCCTCCCTTCCTGTCGGTCGTCGGTCCCCATGTGGTGCTTTCCAGATTTCTTTGTCCGTCCTCTTCTTTTGCCAGCTCGTGATGTATAGAGTTGCTTGGGAGGCACGGGCCTTCTGCGCATTCGTTCGCGACGCTTCGGGCACCAGGATGATTTGACATTTGCAGGGCCACCCACTGCGGTAATCCAGTTGGGGCACGCGCCATTCGTGCCTTCTTGTGGGAATGTTTGGAGATCCATTGATTCCTCGTAGTTGTAGTATCGTTCAAGGCGATCCTAATAGCGAATGAATTGAGTGCTTGTGTACAGGTTCCTGTACAGCCGGTCTGCAGGCGATGCCTAAAAGGCGCCCTCGCCACAACCGTGTGGTTCTGTGGCAGCGCCTGGATATTCACCCGCGGCAGCTGGAGCAAGGGAAAAGGAGGAGCGCAACACCGAGGGCAAGGCTTAGGCAGGCAAGAGCCAGCTAAGAGGCAGCACGAGCGCGACGTGTCTTCCAGATCGAAGCAGGACTCGAGCTCGGCTCCAAGGCCGTCGGGCCCCGCCCGTGGAAATCTAGTTCAGCTGCTCGTCGGTTGGTCAGTTGTGTGTCGAACGTGCTCCTCGCGTGCCCCCTCCCCTGGCCCTGCGTGAGTATGGTTCTTCTGGCTGTGGACTGCGTGGCCCACGATCAACTCGTACGGGCTGATGAGACACGCGAGCGCAAGCGTGCCAGAGCGTGTGCGATGCGGTCGCTGCAGCACCCGTTTTGCGTGAACTTGGAGCTGCACGTGCGTGGGAGTTGGTGCGCCATGGTTCTTGGCAACACGGTGTCTCGTGCGAAGTGTCGGGGCCGATGGCCGGCTGATGCGCGAGCAGTACTATTCTCGTTTCGTTCGGTGCACGTCCAGAGCGCGTACGTTCGGGGGGCGTTTTGGAGGTCGGGCTTTCCTCTGATCATTGCCGCTGAACAAGCACGATTTGGGAATCCACGCCCCATCCGCCGGCCTCGGTTCTTGATGCCCTTCCAGTGTGCCTCACTGGAAATGACCCCCAGGGGGCCCAGGGCTTTTATCCCATTGGGCCGATGGGAATGTCGCTCTGGGGGGCAAGTTTTCCAAATGTTCCACTGCAAAAGAGTCCCGTGGGTATCCCTCGGGGAGGATTCCCTCTGAGGGGGGATAGACTGGGAGGGGGTGGGTGCAACGATAGAGAAAGAGTCAAATTTCCAAACGTTCGAGATGCACAGCATTATGCACTATTCTAGTGCACTCCGCTCCGATTTGAGCCTGCCTCCCGCAACACGTTCCCGCTTCGGTTCCGGCCCCGGGTTCCTGTCGCTTCGCTGGGTGTGGTTTCTTGGAGGCCTCGGGGGCGGCTTACAATACAGGATTTGCCGTGCTGTTTGTGCTACGCTCGTCTGCTGGATGCCCTGACGGGGGTCCTCTTGGAGCCTCTGAGGCCCTCTTGTGCCATCTGGGCGACTTCTTTGACAGTCTTGAAGTCTTGGGCCGACTTGGGCCCCTCTTGGGCGTTGAGAGGATCGTTGAGGAAGCTGGTGGCCCTCTTGTCTCGTCTTGAGACCCTCTTGGGCCGTCGTTGGGGCAAGTTGTCGTAGGGCTTTTGGGAGGTCCTCTTGGGGGCTGTTGGGCCGTCCGACGGGAGGTCTCCTCAGCCGTCTTTGGCTTCTTGAAATCCAGAAATGGTAAGAACGCCGAACAAATCCGAAAGCCACAAGAACATCAGCATTCTTGGAGCCTTTTTGAGAGGCCTCTGGGCCGTCTTGGGGCGGCCCCTTTGTGCATCTTAGGGGCGCCTCGGGCAGACTTGAAGCTGTCTTTGGCCGTCTTTTGGCCCTCTGTGGTTGCCTTGGGCTGGGCCCCAGAGGAGAAAAGCGTTGATCCCCTTGAGGTTGTTACTTGGCACCACCCGCCTGCCCAGGCTTCCGACTCCGAGCCTCACTCCCCAGCGTCCGTAGCCGTTCTGCCTCCAGATCCCGCAGTTTGCTGCAGTCTGCAAGCCGCGAGCTAGAAGGTCGCGGCGTGGTCACGATGGAGTGCTCCACGGCGCTCTGATGCGGAACCATCCCACCGGCCGAGGAGCGTGCGGACGGGGAGCCCGCGTACGACCTCGCCTGGTACCAGGACGGCGACAGCATCCTCGAGGCGCTCGCAATCACCATCCAGCGTCACCACCCCGTGTGATCGGTCCGCATGACGTGGCTCATCCAGCAGCGCGCCTCTGTACTCCCGAAGCGGCTAGAGCTGCCCGAGGAGGCGTGTCCTTCTCCTCCGCGGAGCTACGCGCCGCGTGGGAGGAGGGCGGCCGTGGTGGCTAAGACAAGATGCTGCCCTTGGTCACCATCTCCTGCTGCTGGGACACGCGCAGGCACCCGGGGCCTACGGGCTTGCAGCTGAATTCGGTCGCCGACACATTGGAGGCGAATTTGGATACCGACGCCGGAAGCGAAAATAAGGGCATTCAGGGTGACGGACGTGTTTTGGATATGTTGTCGTTGTATCAGGGGGATTTGGCCAAGGCCGAGGCGGCGAAGAACACTGCGATGGCCGAGGGCAAGAGCAAGGAGAAAGTAGAGGAGGCCAGGCTTCGATCTCGCGCTCCACAAGGCCGTGGGCTTGTGGTGTGCGCGCACAAAGGCACTTCTGTCTTCCTACTAACTCCGCACCTCCGCGATGGGTGCAGTTTGCGGGGGAAGGGCTACGAGGACTCTGACTGGACCACGCACGAGCGATGCTCGGCCGAGCAGATCAAGGGGGTCGACCGGTACGAGGCGGGCTGGGCGGCCATAGCAGACTTCGGCGGCGAGCGGCGAAGCGTCGCTGGGAGGCGGTGGCCCGTGGGCCCAGACGGCTTCGACACGACGGCAGCGTCTTGCTCTCTACGACCGGCGCCGACGCCGAAGCCGTCGAGACGCTCTTCCGCGACATCAGCAGCGCCCCCACCTGGGCGGCGTAGACTTGAGTCGGGCGTGTCCCGCTACAGGGGGAAAGTCCAAAAAGTGCAAAACCCCCAAACTAGTCTGGGACGATAAGTTTGACTAGTACTGGCTATCGTTGACTATTACTGACCATGTTAAATTTTTCGCCCAAGCTCCGCCTGTATGGGGGACATGCCCGACCTAAGCGTAGACAAGCCGGACTGCAAGGGGGTGCCCTCGCTGATCGGAGAGGACGAGGGCGGCCTCACCGAGTGCTTGCGCCGCCTTGCGCCAAACAGCGCACGCTGAGCCCGACGCATGTGGGCCTCTCCCGCGCCGCCGCCTTCGGGCACCCGGCCACGGCCTTTCTGCTCCGGCGCGCTGGGCCGGCTGCGGAAGCTCTCCCTCGGCGACGCCCGCCTCGGGCGGGGGCGCGCCGCGCCGCTGGCCACGGCGCTGCCCGCGCTGCCGCAGCCGGGGACGCTCGCGCTCTCCATCGACGCCCTCGGGCAGGACGGCGCATCCGGGCCCCTGGCCGCGGCGCTCTCCTCTGGCGCGCTGGGCCAGCTGCGCGAGCCTGGGCCCAACGGCGCCCGGCCTCGGGCCAGGGAGCGCCGCGCCGCCGGCCGCGGCGCCCGCTGCCGCGGCGGAGCGAGCTCTGGCCCAGGGGCGACGGCCTCGGGCAGGAGGGCGGGGAGGCGCTTCCAGCCGCTCGGGGCGGCTGGCGTCGGGGCGGGGACCTCTGGGCCGGCCGGGGGGTCGAGGGGCGGGGCGCCCCGCGTGCCGAGGATCGGGTCGGGCGAAAGGGGGGGATTGGGAAAGGGGGGGGCTACGAAATTTGCTGCATGCAGCTGGTATACGGCCCCACCGAGGGGCCCGTTCCTCGATACATAGCCGCCTCCGGCGCCGGGAGGCGCCGGGAAAATCAGCTACGTGAGCTGATTCTCACCCCCCCCCTTTGCTATCCCCCCCTTTCGCCCGACCCGAGCCGAGGAGTGGACGGCGGGCGGGGGGCAGTTGTGGATGGTGGTGCGGGGATGGGGGGCCGGACGTCTCGAGTCCAGCAATCACACTGCTTCTGCGACGCAGAGGCTGAATGGATTGCGGTGGTGGCCAGAATGGCGCGCACCCCAGCCGCCGCGCGTTCTGGGACGCTGGACATGCTATGAGGAATGCAGCTCGCCTGAAATTGTAGACTGCCCTCGCAATTCGCATGTTGTTTTGTTTCGGCCGTTTTGTATTATGCCTGTCCTCGTTTGTGCTACGCCCCCTGGGCAAAGTCCATCGTTTCCCGTTGTGTTTGTTGCGTTGTTTGTTTCGACTGGCCGCTGGTCTGGACCTGAGAGCGTTCGAGTGTAACTAGCTCGTTCGCTTTTCATCTCTTCGCGGTTGAAGGCTTCACGAGGTTAGCGCTGTGATTCCAACGCCGTCTCCTCAGATGTTCATCGCCCCGATATGTATGCCTCCCTTCCCGCCCCCCTTTGACTGCGCTGCAACTCAGAGCATCCGCGCCCAAACCCGTTTAATTATAGCAGGGGGTTGCCGTCCCATCGACATGGGCACATCTATCAATATTAAAGAAGAATTTCACACCGACGTCCAAGCTGTGAGTTGGTATGGACTTCGTTTGCGCGGTCGCGTAAGGAGATACGGAGCTCAAGTCATTCTCCAGCCCCCTTCTCCTCCTCCTCTTCCTCCTCCTCCTCCTCCTTATCCTCCTCCTCCCCCCACCTCCTCCCCCCACCTCCTCCCCCACCTCCTCCCCCCACCTCCCCCCTCCTGGCTATTCAGTCAACGACCGGTTGGGTCAGAGCCATGTCATGTCTTGTCCTTCTCCCCCTCCCTCTCCCTCCTCCTTCTCCTCCTCCTCCTTCGGATGCAACTCCTGGGAGGTCAAGTTCTGATTTTGCCCTGGTCCGAAGTCCATCTTAATCCGGCTCGATCCCGCTTATTCCTGCTTAATCCGGCTTCATCCCGCTTGATCCGAGGCCCTTTCTGTCCCAACAGCCCCGCAATGGGGCTTAATCCTCCTTAATCTTTCCGGCGAAGACCTCTCAGCAGTTGCTTCCTAATCCTCCCTCTCCCCCTTCTCCTCCCCTCCCCCCCCGACACCTCCGGAGCTTTGTGTGCGGGGAGGCAGGGCTGCGCCACCCGAGAGCGCCAGCGCTCACGCCAGTTGTCCACGGGCTGCGCCGGCGTGTCGCCCTGGTGCCCCCCAAGACGACCCACGCGCGTCGCGAAGCATAAGACACGCGACGGGGAGGTTTCTGTCCGTCTTCGGCACCTGAGGGCTTCCTCCTCCTCCTCCTCCTCCTCCTCCTCCTCCTCCTCCTCCTCCTCCCTTCTACCCCTCCTCCTCCTCCCTTTTACCCCTCCTCTTCCTCCTCCTCCTCCCTCCTCCTCCTCCTCCTCCTCCTCTCGGGTCGGGCGAAAGGGGGGATTGGGAAAGGGGGGGGTACGAAATTTGTTGCATGCAGCTGGTTTCGGCCTCACCGATGGGCCCATTCCTCGATACATGGGCGCCTCCGCGCCGGGAGGCGCCGGGAAAATCAGCTACGTGAGCTGATTCTCAACCCCCCCCTTTATCCCCCCTTTCGCCCGACCCGATCCTCCTCCTCCTCCTCCTCCTCCTCCTCCTCCTCCTCCTCCTCCTCCTCCTCCTCCTCCTCCTCTCCTCCTCCTCCTCCTCCTCTCCTCCCCCTCCTCCTCCTCCTCCTCTCCTCCTCCTCCTCCTCCTCCTCCCTCCTCCTCCTCCTCCTCCTCCTCCTCCTCCTCCTCCTCCTCCTCCTCCTCCTCCTCCTCCTCCTCCTCCCTTCTACCCCTCCTCCTCCTCATCCCTTCTACCCTCTTCCTCTCCTCCTCCTCCTCCTCCTCCTCCTCTCCTCCTCCTCCTCCTCCTCCTCCTCCTCCCCCTCCTCCTCCTCCTCCTTCTCCTCCTCTTCCTCCTCCTCCTCCTCCTCCTCCTCCTCCTCCTCCTCCTCCTCCTCCTCCTCCTCCTCCTCCCCGTGTGCTCCAGGCGAGCCCTCCCCCCCGCGCCTGGGCTGTCAGGAGACGGCTCGGGGAGAAACGGCGGCCCTGGCGAGAGGGCCGGAGTTTGCGAGTCACCGCGCCGGAGAGCGCAGGATTAGGTCAGGCGTGTCCCCCTACAGGCGGATTTTGGTTTGGTCGAATGAAAACAGTCAGTAAATACGCCCCAAATGCCCACAAATAATTATAACAAAAATCGCCCCCTGATAATGTTTTAACTATTTTTGAATATCCCTCCTGTAGAGGGACAGGCCCGACTTGAGAGCAGGACGAGATGCCCAGTCCCGGGGAAAGGGTCGACCTCTGAGGCTGCGAGAGAAGACCGCGGCGTCGGTGGGGTCTGCGCCGTGGCCCTCCTCGGCGGCGAGGTCCGAACCCTACTCTGAAGTCGGGCGTGTCCCTAAACAGGGCGAATATTCAAAAATAGTCAAAAATAGTCGGGGGACGGTTTGTCTCTTATTTTGTTGACCACGTTTGTTCTTTTTGTTGGAGTATGTTTCATTTTTATTCCAAAATCCGCCTGTAGGGGGACACGCCCGACCTAAGCCTAATCTCGCCGATCGACGATTCAGGCAACCCGATGGGCGGCGGGGGCAGGGTTCAAATCCGAACCCCACCCCCAGGCGATCGCAAACATGGATCTAGGGGGCGTTGATTAGCGACGGGTCCCGTTCCCAGGGGAAATCGCGGTTTTCCGCCGCCGATTGAGGTGGCACCGGCCGCATTTCGGGGAGGGCCCTTCCCCCGATCCATGGATTTGGCGACCGCGCGCCAAGTCCATGGATCGCTAATCCATGTTTGCCCGCCCCCAGTACATTGCCAGAGGTCTGCGCGGATGTCTTGGGCTTGCGCTGGACCTCTCCCCAATCCCATTGCAGCGCTTCCGGAGCCGGGAATTCCCGCCGGGAAGGGGCGTCGGCGACCCTAGGAATCTTCGTGCACCTCCGAGATTGGGTAGTGTTTGCGCCGCCCCCCCGACTTGTATCGCCCCCCGCAGCACGCGAGGACCACCTGACGAGCCCGCCCTTGCTGGGGATCGCGGAGGCGTCGGCCCCCAGAGGCCCCAGGAGAGCAGCACGCGAGCGGGCAGACGCTCGGCGGGGGCCATGGGCCGCCCGTGTTGAGCGCTTCCCCGGGGCTTCCCGAGGCACAAGGGTCAGGTCCGGCAAGTCCCCTTACAGGCAGATGTGGAACGAAACGCTGAAATTACCCCCAAAATAACCAAATCGTCCCCGTAGATTTTTTTTTTTACCATTTTTGAATATTGGAGCCATCTTGGAGCCCTCTCGGGCTGTCCTGGGGCGCTCGTAGCACGGTCGTCCTGGGGCCCTCTCGGGCTCTCCTGGGGCGCTCGCGGGCCGTCTCGGGGCCCCGCCTCTCCTCGGCTCGGGACGGTTCGGATGTCGCCACCCCCGGTCGGGCATTCTTGTTGGGGGGGGGGCAGCGTGTCGCTCGGCCGGCTCGGGCCCACCGCGATGCGGCGCGGCGCGCCATGCGCTGCGCGGTGCCGAGGCGTCCACGTGCCGAGATCCTTGGTGTCCGAGCCCCGCGGAGCGGAGCGACGCGCTGCTCCCTCGCAGGGCACAGCGTGCCGCTGGGGCCGCACTGGCGGCACGCCGTCCAACCGCTCCACAGAGGGAAGAGTTTCAAACATATTCAACACATAGTCTGCATGGGGACGACTGTTTGAGTATGTTTGATCATGTTTGGAATATGTTTTGGTATTTTTATTTTTCATCCAAAATCCCCCTGTAGGTGGCCACTGACGATTTCCGGTATCGTTTAACCGATCCCCATTCCCATCCTAGCCCCTTCGAGACCCCCACCAGATTACCACCCCAGTTGGGGATACACGCCTCGAAATCCGGAGGGAACGGCCTATATCCCCATCTAGACGTAATTGAATCGGCCAGCGCTGGGGATGGGGATCGGTTAAACGATACTCATAGACCCCATCTACCTGCGGCAATTCGAGCTGGGTCGACCTGTGATCGCAGGTTGGTAGACCTCCTACCCTGACGCGTCGATTAGCGAATTGGCCGTTTTCGGTTCGCGAGAGGGAGTCGCGGCCGTCATTTATGCGGGTCCAGGTCCGTCGGTTTCGGTCCCAGGTCGTTTTCACCAAAGGGTGGTTTACGAAAGGGAGGTTTGTCCACCGCCTGGCGACCGGCTCGAAAAAGTTGAGACGCCGCCAGTCTCCTAGCACTGGCGCGCCTGCGGGATGCACGCCAGGTCTGCGAAGCAGGCATGTAGCAACCAGAGTCGTAGTTAGCAGTGCATGGCGAGGGAAAGCATCAACGCAACGTGCACCCGAACCGTAAGCATTCTGGCCCGTGAGCCGCCTCGCGCGGCGTGCGTCGCAGCCACCGTACTTTGAGCCTTGATCCTGAGAAGAACAGTGTATTGCGAAGGCCTGACGGCTGGTGCCGTCGACCCTGAAGAGGACCACGACGTCGGCGACAAAGTGGGCGG